TATTCATACAAATATGCAAATTGTTTAAAATTTGTAGAGAGGTTTTTCATATTCTATACTCACATTCTCATTAGTAGTAAGTTGAGTTCAGAACTTTAAGACTTTATACTACATCTGGGTGCTGTTTTGTGAAAATGACCACGCTTTCCAGTTGCCACAAATCAGGTTGTATAATTCTCAGCATTTTGTAGCTAATAGAGTAGGCTCTGAGCCCTTTGAAATATATTTGGATTTAAATTTGGAGCAATATTAGACCTATCTTTCTCTTTTTCTCAAAACAGGTTTCGTTGACATGCAAACTAAATTTGCTCCTAACTCAAAACAACAAAACACACAAGTATAGCCATTTTCTCAAAATAGCACCCATATGGCAGACATGCACAAGAGGACCTGGATTTACAAAGACGGCATTTTAATGCGTGCTAATCATGGCTCCCGGGGGTTTTTTTTAATTTTCATGGAGGAAAAATACAATGAAACGGAGAAAAATGCTATTTTTCTTCTATGCTAAACAGGGCCTAAACCTTCCAGGTCTCAGCCTCGCGTCAATTTTTAAATTTACTTCCCCGCTTCGTATTTAGCCGAATTGGCCTGGCGATTCTCACCACTTGACGCAGAGAAAAATGCACTTTAGAAGGAGGAGTTTAATTCTGGAGCGCTTAGATTATCCACCTCCGCTTAAAAAAGACTCCCAGTATTTCAATACTCAGGGGGTACTGCCGCGATGCGGTAAGTGGTAGAAAATATTTCAAATACCATTGCTTGCAAGGGTAAGCTTTCCAACTACCGTGGAACACCACCGCCCACAACTGCGACCTCTCCCAGGTCAGAGGTTTTGTAGGAGGCGAACCCCGGCCTGGCATTAGATAAAGTAGTTTTGTGCGACAATGCTGTGATCTTTTATAGCTATCTTTTATGAAATAACTTGTAAATAAGCTGCCGGCGAACGACAACCGAGATTGATAAGCCCATACGATACACCTACTAGAGATTCAAGACTAGTATATTGTGCTCCAACGCTGAAATCGCCAAGAATTCTCATCTTGGGCCAAAATGGCGGTTTCGAACAACCATAACTAGCGCCTTCCCTCACCTACTTCAGAACTTCAGAACAGCTTTTGTTTCCACCACAAGACAAGAACCGAGCGACTATCTATCCATCGACTTCCGTTCGAGAAAATGTTCAATTCCAGAGGGAAGTTAGAGGAATGGAGGGTTGTGTCACCAGGTGACGGTAACCTCAACAAAGGAAGAGGAGGAGGAAGCAATTCCTCTTGGATCGAAGCTTTTATACCAGAATTTGAATTCACCCCAGAAAGATGGAGCGCCCACTCCTGGGTGCGGAAGCCAGGTTGGCACACAGGTTGGCATGCCGGCGTCTCAGCATGCGCTGCTTCTGCTGTGGTTGTTCTGATTATAAACATCAGTTTAACCATCTACGCTGCCACGAATCCCGAGTACAGGATGGAAAACGGCGCTGGTACGCTTTACTTGGGCAGTTGTGACAAGAGTAAGGAGATCGGAATGTGGTTGCACCTGGTGATAAATTTTCTTGCCACACTGCTCTTGTCGGCTGGTAATTATACACAGCAGTGTCTGGCAGCTCCAACACTCAGCGAGGTTGACGCGGCCCATGCTAGGAGGCGATGGATGGACATTGGAGCTCCGAGCTTTAGGAATTTGTTCAGGATTAAGTTAGAGAGGGTGTTTCTGTGGATTGCCATTGGGATTGCTAGTGTTCCGTTGCATTTTCTGTACGTTTATATTACCATACCCCCCCAATCCTTAGGAGTTAGGCTCATTCGGAAATTCCAGGTACAATTCTGCAGTGTATACCACATTAGCAGCGAATGATTTTGTCGCAGCTGTTGTGACAAACAACCACTTTGAACGACTTGGCTACTCAAATATGACCGAGGTGTTATTCGAGGCCTACCGGGAGGCATACAACCTGACAGATTGGTCTGGAGACGGCATGGATTTATATGAAATCCCGTTTCTCACAAGTGTGCTCGAGGGATACAGTACAAACTCAGAGAGCTATGAAGACCTGACACCGGCTCAATGCATAAAGCTCTACCACAATTACCTCAATCCCAACCACCGAAACCTATACCTAATCACAAAACATCGTTCCAATACCACTCAAAATAACACCCTCAGGGAAATAAGCAAGGTCAAAGTCGGTAGCGTCTTAGCTAGTAGCTGGGGCGTCTCTAGCTACATTTTCTTCACAGAGTATGGGTGGATAGATTATATGGACGACACAACTGCGGAAACCGCAGAAGTAGCGAAGGGGATGCCTTGGCAGATGATGGTCATGGGAGGGGATGATGTAGAGATTGGCGGATGCGAGAGTGAGAAGATACCGGAGAAGTGCAAGGTGCAGTTCTCGCTAGGAATAATGATCATGGTTGTCTGCTGCAATATCATTGAAGCCTGTAGTATGGTCATCGCGGTCGTAAGATCCCGTGAGCCCGCACTAGTTACTATAGGTGATGCTCTGGAATCCTTTTTGAGAACACCAGACAAGACAACAATGGGGATGTGCTTTGCCGATCAGACATTCGTCAAGCGGGAGTGGAGGAGTGGGCTAAAGACTATACCGGAGCAGTGGAAGGACAAGGGGGTACAGAGGTGGTGGACTAGTGTTAGCAAGACAAGGTGGATTATTTGTAATTTTTTCTGCTTGATATTTATTTTTGCCGCGGGGTGGTTTCTTCGATATGGGATAGAGAAAGACGGGATGCGCTTGCAGAACGACATTATATCAATGCAAGTTTCCCCCTCTGTTCTAACATCCCTTTCACCAATAATATTAACAAAAAAATAAAACAGGTGGACTAGAGGATTCGGCAAAGTAAACAGCCTCTCCCTAGTCGACCTCGGATTTGGCAGCAACATAACGCGGGGAACCCTCCTAGCTAACCTTCCACAAACAATCCTCTCGTTCCTCTACCTAACCTACAACTCCCTCTTCACCCGCATGCTTTCGGGCCACGAATGGTCCCTCTTTGGTCACCACCACCGCACCCTCCGTGTCACGTTCCCGCGCCCAGGGCAACGCTCCACATACTGGCTTCAAATACCCTACACCTACTCCATCCCTCTAATGACCCTGAGTTGTCTCCTTCACTGGCTAACCTCGCAATCCATATTCCCTGTGAGGGTTGAGATATCGGGCCCGATTGGGGATGAGATTTCGTTAACCATAGGTGGCGTGGGGTACTCCTGCATTGCCATCATTTTCGTACTCATACTGGGTGTTTTCGCCTTGCTAGCTGTTGCCGGGATGGGGTATAGGCCGTTTGCTGCGGAGATTCCTACCGTCGGGAGTTGCTCCGCGGCTATTTCAGCCGCGTGTCACAACCTGGGGGAGGACTCGGCGGCTATTGTAGTGAAGGAAGTGCGCTGGGGTGATGTCGGGATCGCACCGGAGACGGGGGTGAGACATTTGACATTCTCAAGTAGTGAAGGGGTTGAGAAACCGGTGTTTGGAGAGGTTTATGCTGGGATAGGGAGTATGCATGTGCCTACCGGGACAGCTCCCTTTATTTCGACAGATCATGTGGAAAACTAGAGTTTGTGTCGGTACCGGGGACATATCACCGAGCCCCGGATACCCGACGAGCGCGCAGGGCAGCATTGTATATTGTTTGGATGAACGGGGTGACGAGGTATATGTGAGGATTTGCACTATTATGCCACGGTTAGGCAAGAATGACACTGAGACACAAAATCATGACTCACCCCACACTCAGCTCTAGCTGCTATAGCGTTGGAAATTTGGGAAGGAGTAATGATAAGAAAACAGCTGTCACAGAGTGAGATGCATCGAGGAGGAAAGAGTTGTAGAAGGTAGCAAATATGATACACATAGTTGAGACTCTAATGTAATAAGAACGAACTAACGCTGCACAGTCTGGAAAAACTCTTCCAGGTCTCACCAGTTGACGCCGAGTATAATGCACTTTAGCACCAGGAGCTTAATTCTCGAGCGTCTGGATTATCCACCTCCGCTTAAAAAAGACTCCCAGTATTTCAATACTCAGGCGATACTGCGGCGATGCAGCAAGTGGTGGAAAACATTTCAAATACCATTTCTTGCAGGGGTAAGCTTCCTAACCGCCGTGGAATACCGTCGCTCAGAACTGCGACCTTTCCTAGGTCAGAGCTTTTTCGGGAAGAGAACCCCCGGCCTGGCAACAGATAAGGTAGCTTTGTGCTACAATGCTGTAATCTTTATAGATATGATTTTATGGAATAACCGGTAAATGAACTGCCGCCGAACGGCAACCGAGATTGATAAGCCCATGTGATACATCTTCTTGAGATCCTGGACTAGTATTAGTATATTGTGTTTCAACGCCGAAATCGCCAAGAGTTCCCGTCATGGCCCAAAAAGGGAGTTTCGAATAATCATAACTAGAGCCTCCCCGGCAACCACTTCTAATCTTCAGAACAGCTTTATCTTCCTCCAGAAAACAAGAAACGAGCGACTATCTATCCATCGAGTTGCGTGCGAGGAAATGTTGAATTTCAGAAAAAGGGTGGAAGAATGGAGGACTTTGTCACCAAGTGAAGTTACCGTCAGGAGCGGAGGACGTGGAGGAAGCAGATCCTCTTTGGTCGAAGTATTTATTCGGGTATTGGAAACCACACGAGAAAGATGGGATAGCTTCTGGTCAGTTCGGAAGCCCTCTTGGTACACGGGTTGGCATGCCGGCGTCTTATCCTGCGCCACTTCCGTCGGAGTTGTTCTGATTATAAACATCGCTCTAACAATCTACGGTGCCACGAATGCGGAGAATAAATTGGAAAGAGACGGCGGTACATTGTATTCGGGCAGTTGTGACAAGAGTAGGAAGATCGGAGTGTGGTTACACCTCGTGATAAACTTCCTTTCCACACTACTGTTATCCGCAAGTAACTATACGCAGCAGTGTTTTACAGCTCCGACACGCAGCGAGGTTGACGCGGCCCATGCCAGGAGGCGATGGATGGACATTGGAGTTCCGAGTGTTAGGAATTTATTCAGGATTAAGCGGGAGAGGGCGTTGTTGTGGATTGCGATTGGGATTACCAGTATTCCGTTGCATCTGCTGTATGTTTATATTACCACGCCCCCGCGATTCATAGGAGCAAGAGTGATTCTAAAAGTGCAGGTACAATTCGGCGGTTTATACTAGGTCGGCAGCGAATGATTTTGTCGTGGCCGTTGTGACAAACAACCACTTTGAACAACCCACCCACTCTAATATGACCGAGGCCTTATTCGAGGCCTACCGGGAGACATACAATATTACAGATTGGTCTGGAGACTACATGGATTTATATCAAATCCCGCTATACAGCAGTGTGCTAGAGGGATACAATACAAACTCACACAGCTATGAAGACCTGACACCTGCTGAATGTATAAAACTCTACGACACTGACCTCATGTCCAACAATCGGAACCTATACCTGATCGCCAAAGATGGATCCAATACCACGCACAATAACACCCTGCTCGGAATGAGCAAGGTTATGGCCCGTGACATCTCGCCCAGTAGCTGGATATGCTCCGGGTTCATTGACTTCCAGCTCGGAGTGTCGAGCTATCCAGAGTGCAATACGAATAAAATAACCTCAGAAGTAGCGAAGGGGCTGCCTTGGCGGGTGTTTGTCTCCGGAGGTAGTGAGGTAGAGATAAGCGGATGCAAGAGCGAGAAGACACCAGGAAAGTGCAAGGTGCAGTTCTCGCTACGAATAATGATCGCGGTTATCTGCTGCAATCTCATAGGAGCTTGCTGTATGATCACCGCGGTTGCGAGATCCCGTGAGCCCACACTGGTTACTTTAGGTGATGCGCTGGAATCCTTTTTGAGAACCCCGGACCAGACCACGATGGAGATGTGCTTTGCCGACAAGAAGTTTGTCAAGAAAGAGTGGAGAAGTGGTCTGAGGACTATGCCGGAGCAGTGGAAGGGAAAAGGGGTGCAGAGGTGGTGGGCTAATGTTAGCAAGACAAGATGGGTTGCTTGTATTTTTTTCTGCTCGATAGTTATCATTGCAGCAGGGTGGTTACTTCAATCCAGGATAGTCATAGACGGGGCATACTTGGAGACCGACATTATATCAATGCAAGCTTTCCCCTCTCAGATGACATCCCTTTCTCCAACAATATTAACAAAAAGACAAAAAGGCGGACCAGAGGCTTCGGCAAAGTAAACATTCGGTCCCTAGTCGACCTCAACTTTACCAACATAACCAAGGCAACCCTACTAGTTAACCTTCCGCAGGCGGTCCTCTCGGTCCTCTACCTAACATACAACTCCCTTTTCACCTGTATGCTTTTGCGCCACGAATGGTCCCTCTTTGGTCACCACCACCGCACCCTCCGTGTCACGTCCCCGCGCCCAGGGCAACGCTCTACATACTGGCTTCAAATACCTTACACCTACGCCATCCTTCTAATGACCCTGAGCGGTCTCCTCCACTGGCTGACATCACAATCGGTATTCCTCGCGAGCGTCGAGATATCGGCCCCGCTCGAAGGCGAGATTTCGTCAACAATAAGTGGTGTGGGGTACTCCTGCGATGCCATTATTTTCGTGCTCACACTTGCCATTTTTAGCCCGATGGCTGCTGTGGGGATGGGCTATAGGCCGTTGGCTGCGGAAATCACTACTGTCGGAAGTTGCTCCGCCGCGATTTCAGCAGCGTGTCACACCCTGGGGGAGGACTCGGAGGCTATTATAGGGAAGACAGTGCGCTGGGGGGATGTCGGGATCATGTCGAACTCAGGTGTGAGGCATTTGACATTCTCAGGTAGTGAGGGGGTTGGGAAGCCGGTGTTTGGAGAGATTTATGCTGGGTTGGGGAGTGCGATTACACTTTGAAGGACTGCTCCCTTTCTTCCACCAGATCATAGGGGGAAGGTGAGCTTGCGGTGTTCGAGATATATGCTATATTTAGCTTCAGATATGCGGTGCCGGTGGAGGACCCTATTGTACATTGTTTCGATAAAAAGGATAGACCTGGAGTCTGGGAGGGTTTGCGCACCCGGTACGATTAGATGATTAGACATGGGAATATTGCACTATGATGCATCAGGTTATGAAGTATCACTCACCTATGCACTCAGACATAACCGCCGAGTGTTGAAAATGTGTGAAGGGGTAATGGTCAGAACAGTTACCTAGGAGTGAGATGAAAAGAGGGGGAAAGAGTTGTCGAAGGTAACAAGTGTGATAGGCATAGTTGAGAGCACGTGCGATAAGGAATAAACTGAGGGGACTAAGGGCAAAGCGAGGAAGGAAAAGCACGAACAAAACTAACGTAAGGAGAGGTTCTCAATGCTAGCGTGCGTGATGGTCCTTGTATATCAATGTCCATCCCCAGCCGTATGATATTGTGCAATAATCTATCTTTGCCCAACAGCCAGTGCCCTCCCTCACCCCCGCTACTCGAGACCAATCCAACGACAATGCCACCCTTACTATCGCACTGTTGAAATTCACGAACCCTCCATCGCATAGTTAGCGAAACAGTTCCTGCTCGCAAAGAGGTATCTGAAGGCATGCAGGAAAAACCAGCAGTTTATGTTTAGGTAGTGTCAGAGAAGCGTGTCCTGTGTTTGGAACAGGGCTGGGATCTATTAGCTTAGGAGAACGGAGCAGCGTAAGAGTTTAGGTGGCTTCATTGGTTAGTGTTGGATACTAAACTTTATTTTAGTTTGTAACAGGATCAGTGTTCGCAAGCGGCCAGTCCGGCCAGACTTGAGGCCCAGGGCGGCCGGCCTGGGCTTCTTTGGTGACCGGCCGGGCCGGACTGTAGATATCTGCAGGCTTTCAGATATCTGTGGGCATCTTCAGATATCTGCGGGCATCTTCAGATATCCGCGGGCATCTTCAGATATCAGCGGTGCACAGACTCAATATTTAGTGGTCAGGTAGCATATGCCAAAAGCCTGCCGGTGCCCCCAGGCATCCATGTGGCCTATAGACTTTACCAAAGCCTGGCCTACAAAGCCCAGGTCAGTTTCACTTTGACCTGGCCGGGCCGGACTGTGCATCTGCAGGCTATCTGCAGGCCGGCCTGGCCGCCTGCGAACGCTGAACAGGATGATACGGGCTTGTGTCGGACTAGGGAAATGTCTGCACCTTATGACGGAGCCGGGAGCAAACTGTGGGTGTGATACCAAGTGGCGACAGTGGAAGCTTGCACGGTGGAGGAAGAACGCTTGCGTAGAGGTAGGAATGGATGTCTTCGACAAGTGGTCTGTCGACCACTTGTTCTGTCTATATACAGAAAGAGAAACCATCCGTGACTGCCATCCAAACCCTCATCACAGGAAGAAAACACACATAACCGCAGTCACAACCCTGCTATACAGAACATAACATACCCTCCAGCTGAACCCTTGTATCCTGCTTACAACCACCTGAGATTACATCTCCATCAGGGTGTTGGTCATGGAAGCAGAGTGGAAGATGGTGCATGGCACTTGGAGAAGTTTGGATTTTCTCAGAAGACATGATTGTGTATATGTAGGACACCTCCGGTATGGTAGAAGAATAAGGACCCCAAGCCATTCTCACACGATCATAGCCTATTTTGAAGACACACCACGCTAGCGAATATCGCCTTACTACCTGCAGCACATGGATTATGATATTCGCTTCTAGGGGCGATATCACTACTCAAACCCGCCAAACACCTTCTCCAAAAACCCCCTGCTAAAATTCAATTATCCGCTGGACGTTGCCTTGGCGCTCATGTAAGCTCCGACCGAGGGTCCGTTTACTTGTGCCTACCGACGGCGGTTTAGGGGACGGTGATGGCACCGAACGTCAAAGAGGGCTTGACGGTTGCAGATTTACCCCGCATAGCGTCTAGACGTGTTTACCTCGAGTACCGTTTAGAGTGTTAGGTGACGCTTTCAACCCTACCCCTAGACCGATGTCTAATTTTGATCGTCTAGAATCAAGAGTTTAAGACAGTCCAAAATTAGGTACCATTAGCACTTTTCAGCCTATTATTGTAACACAATTCCGTTATGACGTGGCCGTGCCTGATACTTTTATCACATAACTTCCCGACGCAGACGGTTCGGTAAACGGGCCACAAGCGATCTATTCTCGCGCGCTACCGTCGGCTAAAGTGAAAGTATTGCCGAAGTTAACTCAACCTCCGTGCGAGACCCATGGAATAGCCTGTGTGAGGATTATCACTGCGGTTCATGCGGGTTGGGGCCTACAGTAGAATATTTGGTGCAACTTACTCCTTAATCAAGCCCGCAATAGTTGCGCAAAGATTATGAAAAAAAACCACTACAAGATAGAGCAAAGGAAAAAGTATCTTAAAAAGTAGTGGTTTTTCCAAAGTCAGATGAATTAATTTGAATCATTGATGTATTTTGGGAGAGAAGTGAGAAAAATGTTATGGGAGTCCTAGATACGCAATAAATTTACCTACCGCCACAACTACGACGAGAAACCCCGTTTCACTACCTAGGCTAAAAATGGCACTTCCAAGGCCCTAACGCTGAAGCCCCAGCAGAGAATTGACACAGCCATGTATAATAACACCTTTTTTGCTGGCCTATTCCTGGCTGTAATCCACATGAGCCATCCGCCAGGATATGGTCCCGGACTCCCATTTGTTCCAAAACCTCAATTGGACACCACATCCTAACGCTGCACAGCCCGGACGGGACCTTCCAAGGCTCAGAGTTTGAAGAAATTGCAAACTTTACTTCGCTACTTCGTATTTAGGCGAATTCGCCCCGACTGGTCCCACCAATTGAGGCCTAGTACAATGCACTTTAGCATGTAGAATTTAATATCTCCAGCGCTTGTATTATCCACCTCCGCTTAAAAAAAGACTTCCAGAATTCCAATACTCAGGGGATGCTGCGACGATGCCGCAGGGGTAGAAAACATTTCAAATACTATCGTTTGCAGGGGTAGACTTGCCAACTACCGGTAATACCACAGCTCGGAACTGCGGCCTCTCTCAAATCAGAGCTTCGGCAGGTGGAGAAGCCCCGGCTTGGCATCAGATAGAGTAGTAAAGTAGTTTTGTGCGACAATGTGGTAACCCTTTACGGTCACTCCGCGGGATAATAAGTTAATAAACTGCTACCGAATGGTAAGTGAGATTGATAAGCCTATACGGCACTCCTGCTAGATATACTAGACTAATATTTGTATTCCAATGCTATAATCGCCGGGGGGTCCCATCAACCCCCGAAAAGGGAGCTTCGAAAAGCCATAACTAGAGCTTTCCAGGGAACCACCTCTGAATTTCAGAACAGTTTTCTCTCCCTCCCCACAGAAGCAACGAGTGAGTGTCTATCCACCTAGATGCGTGCGAGAAAATGTGGAATTTCAGAAAGAAATTAGAGGAATGGGGGGTTGTGTCACCACGTGATGTTAACTTCATTAGCGGAGGAGGAGGAAGCAAATCATCTTGGATCGAAGTAATTATTCGAGGATTCAAATTCACACGAGAAAGGTGGAACACCTTCTGGTTAGCGAGGAAGCCGGTTTGGTACACAGGTTGGCATGCAGGTGTCTTAGCCTGCGCCACTACTGCTGTGGTTGTTCTGATGATGAACATCAGTTTAACACTCTACGCTGCAACGAATCCGGAGTACAAGATGAAAGGATACAGTGGGACGTTATATTCGGGCAGTTGTGACAAGAGCAGGAAGATCGGGATGTGGCTGCACCTAGGGATAAATGTCCTTTCCACACTACTGTTGTCCGCGAGCAATTATACGCAGCAGTGCCTGGCAGCTCCGACACGCAGCGAGGTTGACGAGGCCCATGCAGGGAGACGATGGATGGATATTGGAGTTCCGAGTGTTAGGAATTTGTTCAGGATTAAACAAGAGAGGGCGTTGTTATGGATTGCTATTGGGATTACTAGTATCCCCTTGCACTTGTTGTCCGTTTTTATTGCCACGCCTTCCCAAATTCTGGGAGCAGAGCTGATTTGAAATTTCAGGTTCAATTCTGCTGTGTATACTACGTTGGCAGCGAATGATTTTGTCGTAACTGTCGTGACAAGCGACTACTTTGAACAACCTACATATCCCAATGTGACCGAGTCGATGCGCGAAGGCTACCGGGAGGGATACAACCTCACAGCTCGGTCTGAAGACCCCGAGAATTCACGTGGAGTCCCGTTATACAACAGGGTGCTCAAGGGATACAATACTAACTCACGGAACTATGAAGACTTGACGCCCGCAAAATGCACAAAACTCTACAACACTGACCTCATGTCCAGCCATCGAAACCTATACCTGATCAGTAAGGATAGTTCTAATACCGCGCGCAATAACACCCTCCTCGGAATGACGAAAGTCGAAACCCGTCGCATCTCTCCTAGTGATTGGATGTGCTTCAGTTACATTAACTTCATAACTGATTTGTCCGGCCATCGCGCGTGCAACGCCAATAATATTGAGTCCAAAGTAGCGAAGGGGATGCCTTGGCGGGTAGACGTCCTGAAAGGTGGGGTAGAGATCAGCGGATGCAAGAGCGAGAAGACACCAGAGAAGTGCAAGGTGCAGTTCTCGCTAGGAATCATGATCGCCGTTATCTACTGCAATCTCATTAAAGCTTGGAGTATGATCATGGCAGTTGCGAGATCCCGTGAACCCACCCTGGTAACTTTAGGTGATGCTCTGGAATCCTTTTTGAGGACTCCGGATCAGACAACAATGGGGATGTGCTTTGCCGACCAGACATTCGTCAAGAGGAAGTGGGAGAGTGGGCTTAGTATTATGCCCGAGCAGTGGAAGGTTAAGGGGGTCCAGAGGTGGTGGTCTAGTGTTAGCATGACAAGGTGGCGTACATGTAATTTTTTCTGCTTAATAGTTATCATTACCGCGGCGTTGTTACTTCGATCTGGGATGGCCAAAGACAGGGAATACTTGGAGACCGACATTATATCAATGTAAGTCCCCCCCCCCTCAGATAACATCCCTCCAATGAAAAATATTAACAAAAAGACAAATAGGTGGAAAAGAGGGCTTGGAAAAGTAAACACCCTCTCCCTAGTCGCCCTGGACTTCAAGAACATAACCGGGGCAGCCCTCCTGGCCAACCTTCCACAAACAATCCTCTCATTCCTCTACCTGACATACAATTCCCTCTTCACCTGCATGCTTTCGGGCCACGAATGGTCCCTCTTTAGTCACCACCACCGTACCCTCCGCGTCACATCCCCTCGCTCAGGGCAACGCTCCACATACTGGCTTCAAATACCTTACACCTACGCCATCCCTCTAATGACCCTGAGCGGTCTCCTCCACTGGTTGGCCTCGCAATCGATATTCCTCGCGAGCGTCGAGATATCTGACCCGCTCGGGGAGGAGATTTCGTCAACGATAAGTGGCGTAGGGTACTCCTGCATTGCCATCATTTTCGTCCTCACACTAGGCATTTTTGCCTTACTAGCTGCTGCCGGGATGGGGTATAGGCGGTTTTCTGCGGAGATTCCTACTGTCAAGAGTTGCTCCGCGGCCATTTCAGCAGCCTGTCACACCCGGGGGGAGGACTCGGAGGACATTATAGGGAAAAAATTGCGCTGGGGGGATGTGGGAATCGTGCCAGAGCTGGGGGTGAGACATTTGACGTTCACAAGTAGTGAAGGGGTTGAGAAGCCGGTGTTTGGCGAGGTTTATGCTGGGATAGGGAGTATGATTCTGTTTTCAAGGACAGCTCCTTCCCTTACACCAGATCATAGGGAGAAATAGAGTTTGCAATGTTAGAGATATATGTTATATCTCGCTTTAGATACCCGATGAGAGTGCCCGACTGTACTGTATATTGTTTCGATAGACGTGATGCATCGGGTGTTTATGAGAGGTAAGAATAATTCCCTCGCGATGCATATAGTGATGCACCTAGTTATGAAATATTACTCACCTATGTACCCACCTCTGGCCACCATAGTGTTGAAAATGTGGGAAAGGGTTAGTCAATGACCAGAACAAAGTTACCACAGAGTGAGGTGCATCGGAGAGTTGTCGAAGGTAACAAATATGAAACACATAGCTGAGAGGCCTATGTGATAAGAAAGGAACTAAATTAAGCAAGAACAAAGTGATGAAGGAAAAGAAGGAAGGTAACAAATATTGGGAATAATTTTCGATTCTAGCGCGTTTGATGGTCGTGTATACCCCCGCACTTCCCCCACCGTAGTGTACAGTAATCCACCAATGCCCAACAACTAGGCCTCGCTCCCACCACTACCGGAGACCTATCCAACGAGAATCCCCGCTTAATGCCACACTACCCTGTCGCCCTCGCTTCCCATAGTAAGTAGAGTACCCGCCTCTGGAGGCCCGAGATCACCACTCAAACCCGTGAAATACCTCCCCGAAAGCGCCCCTGATAAAGTTATATTATCCGCTAAACCTTACTCCTGCACTAAGTAAGCTCCGGCTACACAATTTTCGGACCCACTTACCCAGCCGCCAGCGTCTAAAATTTATAAAGTGAAAGTAGTCGGCTATGTCATACCGAGAACCGTGTTATGACAGATGGCTAAAAAGTTTTTACCAAATTTTCAACAGTCTCGAGTTGATTCCAGAAAGTCAAAATGAGACGTTGCTCCTATCACCGCTGACCAAAAACTCAAAACGGTATAAGTACTGTACTGTACACAAGGTAAACACCTGTTGATGCCACGGGTTCACACAACCACAAAGCCCCCCTTGATGGTCGGTCCCCTTACTCAAACGCTAGACGGGGGTCTGTAGGTAAACGGACCTTTACTCCGTACTCTCGCGCGCTACCTGTCGACTGAAGCTAAGGGCCTGTTTGGAGACGACCGTTCCGTTCCGTTCCCCCATAAAAAACGACTATCACCTTCCGTTCTAAAGATGCCAAGACGACCCTTTCCCCAGGTAAACCCATCGCGGAACGGAACGGTCGACCCGCCTACCGTTCCCGCCAAACAGGCCCTGAAGTATTGTGGAGGTTAACCCAGCCTCTCTGCAAGATGCACAGAATAGCCTGTCGGAGGATTATTATTATGGTTCGTGCGGATCAAAACGTGGAGCAGAATACCTAGCGCAACTAGCCGCTTAATGAAGCCTGCAAAGGTTGCGCAAAAATTACGAATTACTCGGTCTAAAAATTACACTCTCAGAATCCGAATCGTCAAGTCTCGGCAAAAGCTTTTGACACAGCCACTTAACACGGCTTGACCATCCTGGTGCAAATTATAATCCTCATGAACCATACACCTAAATAAGGTACATACTTCCATTTCTCCGAAACCTCGATTGAACACCATATCATAACCTTGCGCAGCAAGGACTAAACATTCAAAGGCTCAGCTCTTGAAGCAATTCTGGGCTTTTCTTTCCCCGCTTCGTATTTAGGCGAATGAGTCTCGGCAGTTCTCACCAGTTGAAGACCGAGTATAAAGCACTTAGCGCGAAGGGTTTAATTTTTTCTAGCACGTGCATTTCCCAGCCCACCTCCTCTGAAAAAAAAGGATTTCCAAAATATCACGTCTCGGGAGATACTGCGAGGAAGCGCTCATGGGTAGAAAGCATTTCAAATACCATCGTTCACAGGGGTAAAATCGCCAAGTGCGGTGGAATACTACCGCTCATAACTGCGACTTCACCCAGGTCAGAGCTTTTGCAGGAGGAGAACCCCCGGCCTGGCAACAGATAAGGTAGCTTTGTGCTACAATGCTGTAATCTTTATAGATATGCGCTTATGGAATAACCGGTAAATGAACTGCCGCGGAAAGGCAACCGAGATTGATAAGCCCATGTGATACATCTTCTTGAGATCCTAGACCGGTATCAGTACTGTAGATCGTGCTTCAATGCCGAAATCGCCAAGAGTTCCCGTCATGGCCCAAAAAGGGAGTTTCGAATAACCATAACTAGAGCCTCCCCGGCAACCACTTCTAAACTTCAGAACAGCTTTCTCTTCCTCTAGAAAACAAGAAACGAGCGACTATCTATCCATCGAGTTGCGTGCGAGAAAATGTTGAATTTCAGAAAAAAGTTAGAAGAATGGAGGACTTTGTCACCAAGTGAAGTTACTCTCAGAAGCGGAGGTCGAGGAGGAAGAAAATCCTCTTGGATCGAAGTATCTATTCGGAGATTGGAATTCACACGAGAAAGGTGGAGCACCTTCTGGTCAGTTCGGAAGCCCTCTTGGTACACGGGTTGGCATGCCGGCGTCCTAGCCTGCGCCACTTCCGTCGGCGTTGTTCTCATTTTAAACATCGCTTTAACAATCTACGCTGCCACGAATACGGAGTATAAGATGGAGAGAGACGGCGGTACGTTGTATTCGGGCGGTTGTGACAAGAGTAAGAAGATCGGAATGTGGTTACACCTGGTGATAAACTTCCTTTCCACACTACTGTTGTCCGCAGGTAACTATATGCAGCAGTGTCTTGCAGCTCCGACGCGCAGCGAGGTTGACGCAGCCCATGGCAAAAGACGATGGATGGACATTGGAGTTCCGAGTGTTAGGAATTTGTTCATGATTAAGCTGGAGAGGGCGCTGCTGTGGATTGTTATTGGGATGACAAGTGTTCCGCTGCATTTTCTGTGCGTTTATATTACCATACCCCACAATTCCTAGGACCAAGGCTAATTAACCTCCCACAAATATTTCTCTCATTACTCTACCTTACCTACAACTCTCTCTTCACCTGCATGCTTTTGGGTCATGAATGGTCCCTCTTTGGTCACCACCACCGTGCCCTCCGTGTCACATCCCCGCGCCCAGGGCAACGATCCACATACTGGCTTCAAATACCTTACACCTGCTCCATCCCTCTACTGACCCTGAGCGGTCTCCTCCATTGGTTGACATCGCAATCGATTTTCCTCGCGAGGGTCCAGATATTGAGCCCGATCGGGGGTGAGATTTGGTCACCGATAAGTGGTGTGGGATACTCCTGCATTGCCATAATTTTGGTGCTCGCACTAGCGATTTTTGCCCTACTGGCCACTGCCGGGATGGGGTATAGGTCGTTGGCTGCGGAAGTCAATACTGTTGGGAGCTGCTCCGCAGCCATTTCAGCAGCGTGTCACACCCGGGGGGCGGACTCCGAGGTTATTGTAGGGAAGAAAGTGCGCTGGGGGGATGTGGGGTTCGCGCCCAACCTGGGGGTGAGGCATTTGACATTCACAAGTAGTGAGGGGGTTGGGAAGCCGCTGTTCGACGAGATTTATGCCGGAGCGGGGAGTGTGATTACGGTTTGAAGGGCAGCTCCCTTTCTTCCACCAGATCCTAGGCGGGGATAGAGTTTGCAATGTTAGAGATATATGCTATATTAGCTTCAGATACGCGGTGCCGGTGGAGGACTTTATTGTAGATTGTTTCGATAAACAGGGTGGACCTGGCACCTGTGAGGGTTTGACACACGGTACGATTAGGCGATTAGGCACTGAGAATATTGCACTGTGATGCATCAAGTTACAAAATATCACTCACCTATGCATTCACATAAACCGCTGAGTGTTGAGGGTGCGTGAAGGGGTAATGATTAGGGCGAGGCTACCACGGAGTGAGATGCATCGAGGAAAGAGTTGTCGAAGGTAACAAGTGTGAAAGGCGTAGTGGAGAGCACATGCGATAATAAAGGAACTGAGGGAACTAAGGGCAAAGTCGTGAAGGAAAAGCACGAACACAACTAACGTAAGGAGAGGTTCTCAATGCCAGCGTGCGTGATGGTCCATGTATATCTACGTCCATTACCGAACAACCGGCGCCCTCCCCCGCCCCGCCACCCGAGACCCACCCAACGAAAATGCCACCCTTAGTATCATGCCACGCTAGCCTATCATCCTCACTGCCTGCAGCACTTATATTACGATACTCGCTCCTAGGGGCGATATCACCACTCAAACCTGTTGTAAACCACCGGTACTCCAACTGACCCCTTGCCTATCCACTGCCACTCGGAGGACTGGAAACTTCTCTGGGGGTGTCTGATGTTTGTAATGCTTAGGAGGAATTGATAAGCAGGATGGAAGGTTCTAGAGATTAATACAGATGTGTATTATAGATTGATATTGCGGGGCAAGGAAAGGAAATACACACAGGGCAAAAAGGAAAGTAATTGGTCAACAAAGCGGGGTAGAGCGATGTCTGTAGAAGCATAAAGAAGCTGAAAGAGGGGTAAAAGGCGGGGTCATGTGGATGACCAAGGAGACCGGTCTGGATGGGAAAAGCTATGATATAGATGTATATAAAGCCCGCTGCTTGAGAGAGTAAGGGTGAGAAAAAAGAACGGAGCAGGAATCGGAGAGAACGTCAGAATCGAGTTACGGCCAACAGTTAGAAAAGACAAAAGCTTCCAACGTGCAGAAGTGAGAATATACGACTTCAATTCGTTTTAAAACCCGGCAAACACCTTCTCCAAAAATCCCCTGCTAAAATTCTATTATCCGCTCGACGTTGTCAAGGCACCTATGTAAGCTCCGACCAATGGTTCGTTTACCTACAGACGGCGTCTCGCGGACGGTGATGGCGCCGAACATCAAGGATGGCTCGGCGGTTGTAAATTTACCGCGCATAGCATCTGGACGTGTTTACCTCGAGTACCGTCTAGAGTGTTTAGTGACGATTTCAACCGCACCTCTGGAGCGATATCTCATTTTGATCGTCTAGAATCAAGAGTTTGAGACGGTCGAAAATAGGTACGATAACTACTTTTTGTTGGAAATCAGGAGTTGCTGCGTAGCATGCTCTCGGAAGTGTCTCGAATTCCTTTCTCCTGGTTGAAGTAGGTTCCTGACCGGAGATGTTTTGTCGGTGAAGAGATTTTTCCTCCGCAGCGACTAGTGTTACGGACTAGTGATACGGAACGGGAAAACTTTTTTTCTTCACGCCAGCACCAGGGGAGGAGGATAGGAGTTTCTCCACGGAGGTTTGGGGGCTCGGATCAGAAGTGATTATAAGTCCTGTATTTCTTTCTTCTTTTTTTCTTTCAAGTAATAGAAGCCATCTCGTTCCCGGGTTGTTTTCTTTCCTACTTCGTCAATCTTTTCTCTCTCACTATCGTTACTCTCTTCTATATAAATCAAAAAGTCTTGGTTGAAGCCGTCCGTACCTTGTTGCATTATCTGCAAAAACTTTCAGCCGACTACTATAACATAATTCCCGTTATGGCACGGCCTCATACGATGCTTTCATCATATAACTTTTATCTTCAGACGGTTAGGTAAACCGGCCCCAAGCGACCTATTCCCGCAGCTCACCAGTCGGCCAAAGTCAAAGTACTGCGGAAGTTAACTCAACCCCCGTTCGAGACCCGCGGAATAGACTATTGGAGGATTATTATTGTGGTTTATGTGGATTAAAACCCCTACTAGAGTATTTTTCAAAGTCAGAGGAGTTGATTTGAATACTTGATTAACATATGAATCGATGGATTCCGGATGAGCGGAGAGAAAAACGTCATGTAAGCCCTAGACATGTAATATTCATTGCAGCGATTATGATGAGGGATCCTGCTTCTCTTTTTAATTCACCGCCATACTCTACTTAATAACATCCTTTATCCTGTCATAACCATGTCTTCTGTATGCTGGTAATGGACAGACCTCATTCCTGTGTCTAAAAATTGCGCTTTCAGAACCCTAACGGTGAAGTCCCGGCAAAAAATTGACATAGCCATGTAACATTTTTTGGCTGTCCTGTTTCCAGTTTTAATCCGCATGATCTATAGATATATACGTCCAAATAAGTTCCTTATTCCCATTGGTTCCGAAACCTCAATTATGCATCACACCCTAACTCTGCGCAGCCAGGACTAACCCTTCCAGGGCTCAGATCTTGAAGAAATTGCAAACTTTGCTTCTCTCCTTCATATTTAGACGAATTAGCCCGGCTGTTCCCATCAATTGAGGCCGAGTACAAGGCACTTTATGGGATGTGGGGTTTAATTTCTCGAGCGCCTGTACTACCCGCCTCCGCTTAAAAAAAGACTCCAAGAATTTCAATACTCAGGGGATGCTGCGGGGATTCAGCAAGGCGTAGAAAACATTCCAAATACCATAGTTTGCAGGGGTAAACTTGCCAACTACCGTGGAATACCGCAGCTCAGAGCTGCGATCTCTTCTGCAGGTGGAACAGCCCAATCTTGGCATCAGATAAAGTAGCTCTGTGCGACAATGTCATAACCCTTTATAGTCACTTTGTGGGATAACGAGTTAATTGAGTGCTACCAAATGGCAAGTGGGGTTGATAAGCCTATGCGATACTCCTGCTAGAGATCCTAGACTGATATTTGTATTCCAATGCTATAGGCGCCGGGGGGTCCCATCATCGCCCGAAAAGGGAGCTTCGAAAAGCCATAACTAGAGCTCCCTCCGGCAACCACCTCTGAACTTCAGAACATTTTTCTCTCCCCCACAAGACAAGAAACGATTGAGTGTCTATCCACCGAGATACGTGCAAGAAAATGTTGAATTTCAGAAAGAAATTAGAGAAATGGAGGGTTGCGTCACCACGTGATGTTAACCTCAACACCGGAGAAGGAGGAGGAAGCAAATCCTCTTGGATCGAAGGAACTATTCGAGAATTCGAATCCACACGAGAAAAGTGGAACACCTTCTGGTCAGCGAGGAAGCCGGTTTGGTACACAGGTTGGCATACGGGTGTCTTGGCCAGCGCCACTTCTGCCGTGGTTGTTCTGATCATAAACATCAGTTTAACAATCTACGCTTCCACGAATCCCGAGTACGAGATGAAAGGATACGTTGGGACTTTATATTCGGGCAGCTGTGGCAAGAGCAGGAAGATCGGGGTGTGGCTGCACCTGGTGATAAATGTACTTTCCACACTGCTGTTGTCCGCCAGTAATTATACGCAGCAGTGTCTGGCTGCTCCGACACGCAGGGAGGTTGATGCGGCCCATTCCAGGAGACGATGGATGGACATTGGAGTTCCGAGTGTTAGGAATTTGTTCAGGATTCATCCAGAGAGGACGTTGTTGTGGATTACTATCGGGATCACTAGTATTCCCTTGCACTTGTTGTCTGTTTTTCTTACCACGCCCTCCCAAATTCCGGGAGTAGAGCTGATTAGAAAACTTTAGGTTCAATGCGGCGGTGTATACTACGTTAGCAGCAAATGATTTTGTCGTAACTGCCGTGACAAACAACCACTTTGAACAACCTACCTACTCCAATGCGACCGAGTCGTTACCCGAAGTCCACTGGGAGGCATACAACTTCACAGGCTGGTCGAGAGAAAACGAGAATGCGCGTGTAGTCCAGTTATACAACAGGGTGCTTAAGGGATACAAGACGAACGCACAGAGATATGAAGACCTGACGCCTGCTGAATGTACAAAGCTCTACAACACTGACTTCATGTCCAGCCACCGAAACCTATACCTAATCACCAAAGATAGTTCTAACAGCACACACAATAACACCCTCCTCGGAATGGCAAAAGTCGAAGCCGGCGCCATCTCGCCTAGTGATTGGATGTGCTACAGTTACATTATCTTCATAGGCGATTTTTCGGCCCAGCGCACGTGCAACGCCAATAATATAGCCTCGGAAGTAGCGAAGGGGATGCCTTGGCGGGTGCATGTCGTGCGAGGTGAGGTAGAGATAAGCGGGTGCAGGAGCGAGAAGATACCGGAGAAATGCAAGGTGAAGTTCTCGCTAGGAATCATGATCGCGGTTATCTGCTGCAATCTCATTAAAGCTTGTAGTATGATCATGGCGGTTACGAGATCCCGTGAGCCCACACTGGTCACTTTAGGTGATGCTCTGGAATCATTTTTGAGGACTCCAGACCAGGAAACAATGGGGATGTGCTTTGCCGACCAGACATTCGTCAAGAGGAAGTGGAGGAGCGGGCTAAGTATTATGCCGGAGCAGTGGAAGGTTAAGGGGGTTCAGAGGTGGTGGACTAGTGTTAGCCAGACAAGATGGGTTACTTGCAATTTTTTCTGCTTGATAGTTATCATTGCCGCGGCGTTGTTACTTAGATCTGGGATGGCCAAAGACGGGAAATACTTGGAGACCGACATTACATCAATGCAAGTTCCCCCCCCCCCTCCTAATATTTCTCTAATGAACAATATTAACAAAATGACAAATAGGTGGACTAGGGGATTCGGCAAAGTCAACAGCCTCTCCCTAGTCGACCTCCGCTTTAGGAACATCACCGAGGCATCCCTCCTAGCCAACCTTCCTCAAACAATCCTCTCATTCCTCTACCTAAGCTACAACTCCCTCTTCACCTGCATGCTTTCGGGCTACGAATGGTCCCTCTTCAGTCACCACCACCGTACCCTCCGCGTCACATCTCCACGCCCAGGGCAACGCTCCACATATTGGCTTCAAATACCCTACACCTACGCCATCCCTCTAATGACCGTGAGCGGTCTCCTCCACTGGTTGACCTCTCAATCGATATTCCTCGCGAGCGTCGAGATATATGACCCGCTTGGGGGGAAGACTTCGTCAACGATAAGTGGTGTGGGGTACTCCTGCATTGCCATCATTTTCGTGCTCGCGCTGGGACTTTTGGCCCTCCTGGCTGCTGCTGGGATGGGGTATAGGCGGCTTGCTGGGGAGACTGCTACTGTCAGGAGTTGCTCCGCCGCGATTTCAGCTGCGTGTCACACCCGGGGGGAGGGCTCGGAGGCTATTACAGGGAAGAAATTGCGCTGGGGGGATGTGGGGATCGTGCCAGAGCTGAGGGTAAGACATTTGACATTCACAAGTGGTGAGGCGGTTGAGAAGCCAGTGTTTGGAGAGGTTTATGCTGGAACGGGAAGTACGATTCTCCTTTCACGGACAGCTCCTTGTCTTACACCAGATCACGGGGAAAAATAGAGTTTGCAATATTGGAGATATGTGTTATTTCGCTTCAGATACCGATGCGAGTAGCGGACTGTACTCTATATTGTTTCAATGAACGCGATAGACCGGGGGCCTGTGAGGGGCAAGAAGAATGATGCCCTCGCGATGTATATTGTCATGAAATATCACTCATCTATGTACCCACCTCTGGCCACCGTAGTATTGAAAATGTGGGAAGGAGTAAGTCAATGACTAGAACAAGCTACTATAGAGTGAGGTGCATCGCAGAGTTGTCGAAGGTAGCAAATATGAAACACATAGCGGAGAGCTCGATGTGATAAGCAAGGAACTACATTAACCAAGAGCAAAGTTATGAAGGAAAAGAGGGAAGGTAACAAATATTGGGAATCATTTTCGATTCTAGCGTGTTTGAGGGTCGTGTATACCCACGCACCCCCCCCCCCCTGCCGCCGCCGCAGTACTGTACACAGTAATACACCTATGTCCAACAACCGAGCCTCCCTCCCACGGACACCGGAGACCCATCCCACGAGAACTCCACCCCCAACGCCACACCAGCCTACCCCCCTTGCTTCCAGTAGTGGGTACCTGCCTCTGGGGGCCTGATGTCACCACGAGCCCGTCAAATGCGAAAGTTCTATTATCCGCTAGACCTTACCCTGGCACTAAGTAAGCTTCGACTAAGCAATTTCGGGCCCATTTACCCAGCCGCCAGCGTCTAAAACTTATATAGCGAAAGTAGTCGGCTAAAGTTATGTCATAGCGAGAACCGTGTTATGACATATGGCTAAAAAAATTTACCTAATCTTCAACAGTCTCGAATTCTTGATTCTGGAAGGTCAAAACGAGGCGTTGCTCCTAGAGGTTCGGTATCAACCCTCACCAAACTCTCGAAAAAGTACAAGTACTGTATTCAAGGGAAACACCTGTAGACGCCACGAGTGCAACCACCAAGCCCCCCTTGATGGTTGGTCCCCTTACTCATACGCTGGGCGGGGGTCTGTAGGTAAACGGACCTTTATTCTCGCGCGCTACCGGTCGACTGAAGCCCAGGGCCTGTTTGGAGACGACCGTTCCGTTCCGTTCCCCCATAAAAAACGACCATTATCTTCCGTTCTGAAGATGCCAAGACGACCGTTTCCCCAGGTAAAATCATCGCGGAACGGAACGGTCGACCCGCCTACCGTTCCCGCCAAATAGGCCCTAAAGTATTGTGGAGGCTAACTCAGCCTCTCTGCAAGACGCACAGAATACCGGTAGCCTGTCGGAGGATTATTATTATGGTTCGTGCGGATCAAAACGTGGAACAGAATACCTAGTGCAATTAGCCGCTTACTGAAGCATGCAAAGGCTGCGCAAGAATTACGAAGAACTCACCAAAGGTTAGAGAAGAACAGGGAGTACAATGTAGCAATTTTTTCAAAGCTAGGGGAATTAATTTGGATCCTTGATCAAGATATAAATTGATGAATTTTCTGTGAAAAGGGAGAAAGGTGTTTCATCAGCCGCAGACATCTAATATCGATTGCCACAATTATGATGAATTTACAGCTATAACCTATTTATTAATATTCATCATCCGGTCATGACTGCTTCCGCACACGGTACAGATCTCATTAATCAGTCTAAAAATTACACTTTCAGAATCCTAATCGTCAAGTCTCGGCAAAAGCTTTTGACACAGCCACTTAGCACGGCTTGACCATCCTGGTGGAAATCATAATCCTCATGAACCATACACCTAAATAAAGTACATACTTCCATTTCTCCGAAACCTCGATTGAACACCATATCATAACCCTGCGCAGCAAGGACTAAGCATTCAAAGGCTCAGCTCTTGAAGCAATTCTGGGCTTTTCTTTCCCCGCTTCGTATTTAGGCGAATGAGTCTCGGCAGTTCTCACCAGTTGAAGACCGGGTACAAAGCACTTAGCGCGAGGGGTTTGATTTTTCTAGCACGTGCATTTCCCAGCCCACCCCCTCTGGGGTGAGAATTTCCAAAATATCACGTCTTAGGAGATGCTGCGAGGAAGCGCTAATGGGTAGAAAGCATTTCAAATACCATCGTTCACAGGGATAAAATTGCTAAGTGCGGTAGAATACTACCGCTTATAACTGCAACCTCTCCCGGGTTAGGCATTCTGCCAGTCGCTAAGCACCTGCTTGGCATCGGATAAGGTATCTCTGTGCGATAATGCTGCGACCTTTTATAGCTAGGATGTTATGGAATAACGGGAGAATAAACTGCTGCCGAATGGCAATTGAGACGGAGAAGCCCGTCAGATACACCTGCTGCAGATTCTGGACTAGTATATTGTAGTTCGACGCTGACATCGCCAAGAGTTCTCATCACAGCCCAAGATGGGGGTTCCGGATAGCTATAACTAGAGGCTTTCCCATCAACCACTTCTGAACATTCGGACAGCACCCTTTTCCCCTACAGGACAATAGACGGGTGAGTATCCATCCACCGAGTTGCCTGCAAGAAGATGTTTAGTTTCAAAAAGAAGTTGGCGGAACGGCTGGTTCCACTACTAGGTGATATTAACCACAACGGCGGAGGAGGAAACAAACCCCCTTGGATCGAAGAATCTATACCAGAATCCGAATTCACCCCAGAAAGGAGGAACACCCTCCGGTCAGTGCGGAAGCCAACTTGGTATACAGGTTGGCATACCGGCGTCCTGGCCTGTGCCACTTCCGTTGCGGTTGTTCTGATTATAAACATCAATTTAACAATCAATGCTGCCTCAAATCCGGAGTACGAGATGAAGGGAGGGGTTGGAACGTTGTATTCTGGAAGCTGTGACAAGAGCAAGAATATCGGAATGTGGCTACACCTAGGGATAAATGTCCTTTCCACAGTGCTGTTGTCTGCGAGTAATTATACGCAGCAGTGCCTGGCGGCTCCGACACGCAGCGAGGTTGACGCGGCCCATGCCAGGAGACGATGGATGGACATTGGGGTTCCTAGTGTCAGGAATTTGCTCCTGATTAAGCGAGAGAGGGCGTTGCTGTGGATAGCTATTGGGATTAGTAGTATTCCATTGCATTTGCTGTATGTCTATCTTACCCTACCCTACCCCCCCCCCCCGATTCCGAGGAGCACGGCTGATCCGAAAACTGCAGGTACAATTCTTCCGTGTATACTATATTAGCAGCTAACGATTTTTTCGTAACGGTTGTGACAAACAACCACTTCGAACAACTTAGCTACTCTAATATGACCGAGGCGTTAATCGAAGGCTACCGGGAGGCCTACAACATCGCAGATTGGCAGGAAAACTACACGGATGTGTTGGAAATCCGCTCCCATAGCAGTATACTCGAGGGATACAACGAAAATTCACAGAGCTATGAGGACCTGACACCTGCTAGATGCACAAAAATCTACAACACTGACTTCATGTCCAAGCATCGAAACCTATACCTGATCACCAATCATAGCTCTAATACCACGCACAATAACACCCTCCTCGGAATGATCAAGGTCGGGGCCCTCTACATCTCACCTAGCAATTGGATGTGCCCTGGCTACTTTGACATGACAGGCACAGGGCCAATCAATACCACGTGCAACCCCGATAAATTAGCATCCAAAGTAGCGAAGGGGCACCCTTGGCGGATCAGTGTCTTGGGGGGGAGTGATGTAGAGATAATCGGATGCAAGAGCGAGAAGACGCCGGAGAAGTGCAAGGTGCAGTTCTCGCTAGGGATCATGATCGTGGTTATCTGCTGCAATCTCATTAAAGCTTGTAGTATGGTCATCGCGGTTGCGAGATCCCGTGAGCCCACACTGGTCACTTTAGGTGATGCTCTGGATTCCTTTTTAAGAACACCGGATCAGGCAACAATTGGGATGTGCTTTGCGGGCCAGAGGTTTGTCAAGAGAGAGTGGAGGAGCGGGCTGAGGATCATGCCGGAGCAGTGGAAGGTCAAGGGAGTGCAGAGGTGGCGGACTAGTGTTAGCACAACAAGGTGGCGTACTTGTAATTTTTTTTGCTTGGCAGTTATCGTTGCCGCGGGGTGGCTACTTCAATCTGGGATGGCCAAAGACGGCGCATACCTGCAGACCGACATTGCATCAATGCAAGTTCCACCCTCACTTCCAACCCCGCTTTCCCGAAAAATATTAACAGAAAGATAAAAGGTGGACTAGAGGCTTCGGTAAAATAAACAGCATCTCCCTAGTCGCCCTCCACTTCAGGAACATAACCGAGGCAACCCTCCTAGCTAACCTTCCACAAACAATCCTCTCGTTCCTCTCCCTAACCTACAACTCACTCTTCACCTGCATGCTTTCAGCCCACGAATGGTCCCTCTTCAGTCACCACCGCCGCACCCTCCGCGTCACATCCCCACGCCCAGGGCAACGCTCCACATACTGGCTTCAGATGCCTTACACCTACGCCATCCCTCTAATGACCCTGAGCGGTCTCCTCCACTGGTTGGCATCGCAATCGATATTCCTCGCAAGAGTCGAGATATCGGACCCGGCCGGGGGGGAGATTTCGTCAACTATAAGTGGTTTGGGGTACTCTTGTATTGCCACAATTTTTGTGCTCATTCTGGCGGCTCTTGCCTTCCTGACTGCCACCGGGATGGGGTATAGGCGGTTTGCTGGGGAGATTGCTACTGTCGGGAGTTGCTCGGCGGCCATTTCAGCAGCATGTCACGCCTGGGGGGAGGACTCGGAGGCTATTATAGGGAAGAAAGTGCGTTGGGGGGATGTGGGGATCGTGCCAAACCTGGGTGTCAGGCATTTAACATTCTCAAGTAGTGAACAGGTTGGGAAACCTGTGTTTGGAGAGGTTTATGCCGGGGCGGGGAGCATGATTGCACCCCTAAGGACCGCTCCCCCCCTCTCACTAGATCACTGGGAAAAATAGAGTTTGCAATATTAGAGATATACATGTTAAATTAACTTCAGATACCCGGTGCGTATCGGGGGCTGTATTGTATATTGTTTGATAAGGGGGATGGACCGGGTGCGTGTGAGGGTTTGCAGACTTATGGTACGATTAGGCATGAATAATGATAAAAAGTGGTGTACAAAAGCATGAAATATCACTCACATATATACCCCACCTCCAGCTACCATAGTGTTGAAAATGTCGGAAGGGGTAGTGATGGGACCAAAGCTCTCACGGAGTAAGATGCATCAAAGACCAAAGGGTTCTTGAAGGTAGTCAGCATGATACCTCAGTGGAGAGCCCTAACATTCGCGACACGAAACACAGAACAAAAAGGACGAAGAGCAAAGTAATGAAGCAAAAGAATAGAGGTATGATAACAAATGTAAATCAAATCTTTACCACTAGCGTGCGATGGTCCGTGTATATCCATGCCCTTCCGTTGTCGTAGCGCGCAATAATCCGCCCATGCCAAACACCCACGTCCCTCCCTCCCGAAGACCTATCCAACGAGAACACCACCTTTAGTACTACACTAACCTATTCCCCTCGCTACCAGCAACAGATACATTACTAGCTTCTTGGGGCCCAGTATCACCACTCAATGGCGTCAAACATCTTCTCCAACCCCCCCCCCAGCTGAATTCTATTACGGGTGCGGCCGGTAGATATATCTGTCACGTGCATTACCTCTGCACACAACAACCAGAAGGCCAACCAAATTTTTCTCTTATCTTATCAGACCCACGTGACTAATATATCTATCGGCCGCACTCGTATTCGCTATGTAGAGGTTGACTTGGCACTCATGTAAGCTCCGACTAAACTATATATTCTCGCGCGCACCAATCGGCTGAGGTTAATGTAGTCTACTCGAGTACCGGAACCGCGGAGGTCAACCCAACCCCTGTGCGAGACCCACGGAATAGCCTGCGTGAGGATTATTATTATGGGTAGTCCGGATCATAATTTTACACAGCTATTGCGGGCTTGATTAAGGAGTTACACTAAATATTCTACTGCATTTTTTAATCGGGACGGACCGCAATAATCAACTCCTTAATCAAGCCCGCAATAGTTGTGCAAAAATTATGAAAAACCCACTACAAGATAGAGCAAAAAAAAAAAGGAGTACATGGCAGTGGTTATTTCACAGCCAGAGGAATTAATTTGAATCCTTGATTAGGAGATAAATTGTTTGACTTTTGGTGGGAAAAGGAAAAATATTATGTCAGCGACGGACATTTAATATTTATTGCGACGGCTATGACCAGTACTCTTGGCTTTCTTTTTAATTTACTACTGTGACCTATTCCATAATTTTCATGATCCTGTCATGGCTATGTATCTTTTCTGTGTACTGTACAATTCAGACCTCATTCCTCCGCCTAAAAATTGCTCCTTCAGATCCCTATTTGTGAAGCCTTGACAAAGAAATTGACATAGCTACATATGATAACGCTTTTTGGCTACGGTACCCTACTGCACGTTTCAATCCTCATGAACAATACGCCCAAAATAAAGCCCCCTCCATTTCCTCCGAAACCTTAATTAAACACCACATCCTTAGCTTGCGCAGCCTGGGCTACGTATTCCAGGGCTCCACTCTTGAAAGCATGATACTTCACTTCTCCCGCTTCGTATTTAGGCTAATTAGTCCTGGTAGTTCTCGCTAGTTGAAGCCAAGTCTAAGGCACTTTAGCAAGAGGAATTCAGTTACCGAGCGCCTGTATTATCCACCTTCGGGCAAAAAGGCACCTGGAATTTCAATACTCAGAAATACTGCGGCATGCCACCAGGGGTAGAAAACATTTCAAATACCATCTTTCGCAGGAGTCAACTTGGCAACCGCCGTGGAATACCACCGCTCAAAACTGCGACCTCTCCCAGGTGAGAGCTTCTGCAGGTGGAGAAGCCCAGCTTGGCGTCAAATAAACCAGCTTCGTGAGACAACCTTGTGGTCTTTTATAGCCATGATTTTATAGGATAAGGGGTGAATAAACTGCGGCCGAATGGGAATTACCATTGACAAGCCCATACAATAAAATATCTAGAGATTCTAGGCTTCTATGCCGTGTTTCAGCACCGAAATCCCCAAGAGTTCCCTCATGGCCTGAAATTGGAGTTTCTAATATCCATGACAAGAGCCTTCAAGGCGACCACTTCTAAACCCCCGAACAGCTTTCGCCCCCCCCCCCCCCCTACCGAGACAACAAACGGGTGAGTATCTACCCATCGAGCCCCGTAGGAGAAATATTTGAATTTCAGAAAGGAATTTGAATTTGAAGAATCGAGGGTTGTTCCACAACGTGAGGTTGCCCTCCACAGTGGAGGCGCAGGAGGAAGCAAAACCTCTTGGATCGAAGTATTTATACCGGAATTCGAATTTACCCGAGGAAGGTGGAACACCCTCTCATCAATCCGGAAACCGGTTTGGCATATAGGTTGGTATGCCCGTGTTCTACCCTGCGTCACTTCCACCGTGATAGTTCAGATTATAAATATTAGTTTAATAATCTACGCTTCCACGAATCCGGAGTACAAGATGGAAACAGATGTTGGCACGCTATATTCGGCCAGCTGTAGCAAGAGCAAGAAGATCGGGATGCGGTTGCACCTAGTGATAAATTTCCTTTCCACACTACTATTGTCCGGAAGCGCCTGGCAGCCCCTGTGCACGGCGAGGTTGACATGGTCCATTCCAGGAGACTGTGGATGGACCTTGGAGTTCCGAGTATTAGGAATTTGTTCATAGTTAGGTTGGAGGGGGCACTTGTGTATAGTGATTAGGGTTACTAATATTCCGTTGCACCCTCCTCGCGTTTCTATTATCACCATACCCCCCAATTCCTAGGAGGAGCAAGGCTGATTCAAAAACTGCCTGTACAATTCAGCGGTGTATACTACATTAGCAGGAGAATGGCTTTGTCGTAACTACAGTGAGAAATAAGCACATTGAACAACCTAACTACTCCGGTATGACCGAGGGGTTATTCGCGGCATTCCGGGAGTCATACATCATCGCAGATTGGTCCCAAGACCACATAGATTTGTATAAAATCCCGTTATGTGGCGGTGTGCTCAAGGGATATAATGAAAACGTACAGAGCCATAAAAGCCTGACACCTACTGAATGCACAAAACTCGACAACATTTACCTCATATCCAATCATCGAAACCTATACCTGATCACCAGCCATAGTTCTAATACCACGAACAATAGAACCTCCTTGGTACGATCAAGGTCAGTGCCCGTGACATCTGGCCTAGAATTTGGGTGTGCTCCCGGGACCTTGACTTCACAGCCCCAGGACCAATCGATCCCAGGTGCAGCCCCATAAGATTGCATCGGAAGTAGAGAAGGGGCTACCTTGGGGGTTGAGTGTCTTGGGAGGATATTATGCCGAGATAAACGGATATAAGAGCGAGAAGACACCGGAGAAGTGCAGAGCGTAGTTCTGGCTAGAAATCATGATCACCGTTATCAGCCGCAATCTTATTAAAGCTAGCAGTATGACCATGGGGGCAGCGAGATCCCATGAGCCCACCCTAGTCACTTTAAGTGTTGCTCTCGATTCCTTTTTGAGAACACCAGACCAGACCATAATGGAGATGTGCTTTGCCGACAAGAGCTTCGTCAAGAGGGAGTGGAGAAGTGGTCTGAGGGCTACCGGAGCAGTGGAAGGACAAGGGGGTGTAGAAGTGGCAGACTAGCATTACCATTACAAGGTGGCGTACCTGTGATTTTTTTGCTTAATAGTTGACACTGCCACGTGGTGGTCACTTCAATCTGGGATGGCCAAGGACGGGGCACTCTCACAGACCGACATTATATCAATCCAAGCCTCCGCCTCTATTCTAACCTCCCTTTCCGGAAAAACATTAACAGAAAGATAAAAGGTGGACTAGCGGCTTCGGCATGATAAGCAGCCTCTCCTTAGTAGCCCTCGACTTTAGGAACGTAACCGGGATGACATTCTTAGTAGACTATCTATAAATACTCTCCTTCCTCTACGTAACCTGCAGCTCCCTCTTTACCTGCATGCTTTCAGGCCACGAATGGTCCCTCTTCAGTCACCACCACCTCGCCCTCCGGGTCATGTCCGCGCCCGGGGAAACGCTCCACATACTGGTTTCAGATACCCTACACCTACGCTATCCCTCTAGTGATCCTGAGTGGCCCCCTCCACCAGTTGACCTCACAATCGATATCCCCCGCGAGATCCGAGATATAGCACCCGCTCGGGTGGGGGGGAGATTTCGTCAATGATAAGCGGTGTCGGACACTCCTGCATTGCTATAATTTTCGTGCTCATTCCGATGGGTCTTGCCCTCCTGAATGCCACCGGGATGTGGTATAGATCGTTTTCCGCGGAAATTGCAGTGTCGGAAGTGGCTCCGCAGCAGTCCCAGCAGTGTTTCACGCCCGGTAAGAGGACTCTGAGGCTATTACGGGGGAGAAAGTGCGCTGGAGGGATTTAAGTATCGTGCCAGATCTAGGGGTAAGGCATTTCACATGCTCAAGTAGTGTAGGGGTTTAGAAGGGGATGTTTAGAGAGGTTTATGCTAGGACAGGGAGTATAGTTACGCTTTTCAAGGACAGCTCTTTTTATTTCACCGGATCATTGAGAAAAATAGAGTTTGCAATGTTGGAGATATGTAAGTCATATTTGCCTTCAGATACCCCAAGCATGTGGAGGATCGTATTGTATATTGTTTGGATAAATGGGATGGGCCAAGTGTACGTGTGGGTTTGTCGAGAGATATAGAGTCACACACAAAGTCATGAAGTATCACTCATCATGCCTTCACCTCTAGCCACCATAGCGTTGAAAGCGTGGGAAAGGGTAATAATCAGAACAAAGCATTCTCGGAGTGGGACTTATCGAGGGGGAAAGAGTTTCCAGAGGTATGAT